AGGGTCTTTTTAGCTATTAATGTACATATAAGGACATGGTTGTAAATACTAAAACAACAGGTCGGTTAGCTTGTGTATAAATACTGCAATATACGATCTGTATAGAGTCAGTTGATTTATCCCCAAATTGGAGAAAAGCTTCGCAGCAAGAACCCTAGAATTGATTCATTGTTTTTCTCTGATCTTCAAGTTGGTTGTCCGCCATTTCTTGACTAATCAAACAGAATTCAACATAAAAGTAGACATCAATATCATTCCTAACATCATCCAAAAGTGGGAGAAAACTGAATTATTTTTTACAGTTATAAAAATTACTCATTTACAGTTGTTTGGACAATTTTGTCCATCTTTCTCCTATTTTTTTCCTTTCTTCCTCCTCTTCTTCCTATTCTTCTCCTTTCTTCTTCTCTAACTCAGACCAAAAAAGTAAAACCCCCCATCTTTCAAACTTAGATCTACAAAAATTAAGAAACTAAAAAAATGGCGGTCCGCGAGAAACAATCAATAACAAATTTCATTGCTAAATTATTGCTAAATTAAATTTCATTTACATACAAATTAATATTAATCAATACACAACAAAAATATAAATAATAGTAAATTAATTTTCAAATTCTAGTTAATACTACTTATTTAAATTTAATTACATTTAAAAATATAATAAACATCAATTATTAAAATTACTTGATACTTCTTATTTATTTATTAAAACTAAAATAAACATAACAATAATAAAAATAACAAAAAAATAAAATTAACACTAAATCCTCGCCTCTCTCTAAAAAGACTTCTTTGCCGGAATTTTTCTACTCCTCTGACCGCCATTAACAGTGGTCGGGGGAGCCTTCTTTTCTCCAATTTTTTTTTCTCTTTTTTCCGCTTTCTTTTTAAAATAGGCCTGACCTCCTCCGTCCTCTGCTGCAGCTGATCAGATCAGCCTCACACGCTTTTCGTAATTCACCGAACGCCATAAACTTGACGACCAGAGACCCCCGCTTGTGTTGACAGCGCAGATCTATAGATATGAATCCGGTGATCAGATCAATAGCCACCACGGTGACACGACTACCACCGACGATTCAGATGAATGGTCTCCACTTGCTGCTACAGAGCCGGTCACAACAAGACGGATCCATGGCGACATTGCCAGATCTGTTGAGATCTGTAGATTCTTTCTGATCTGAAATCCAGCTGCCGCCGCTGTCTTTTGCTCTCTTCAGGCAGCCACCGAGGTCCGACGCTAGAAGCGGCCATCTATCAAAAAGCCCATCGACGCCTCAGATCAGCCGGCCAGAGAAGCTCCGATCTAATACCACCTAGATGCCGAGTGACCAGCCATCTCAATCCTTCACGAACAAGGCAGATCGTACTTTTCATCTCCGGCCACAAATCTGGTTCTCCCACAGCCGGTTACAGATCCATCGGCTTTAAAATCGGTAAAAATTGGTTTTCCTTAGAAACCAACCTCTCTGGTCTACAAATAAACTATATCGGGCTATGGTTTAGTTAGCTGACAATTTAGAGGCAGCAATTCTCTGTGTATCACTCACTGTTCGGAATTCTTAAATATGCCCACCAAATGCGGCAGTCTGTGAACGGTGATCCACAGATGCGAATCACGCACGCAGAGGAAATGATTACTGTACTCTTTCATTATTACACTATACTAGTTTATTCCTGATATAGTTTACTGATATTCAATTCTCCGTCATTAATTGACGGTTTCTCTTTGAACGGGGTAAGTCTTACGCACTGCCCCAGAAATATTTTACTTTATCAATAAATTTCCCAGGTACTAACCTGGTTTGCTAAAAAAAAAATTAACACTAAATAAAATTTCATTTACATAAATAATAATTATTAATACTGCTCATTTAAATTTAATTAAATTTTAAGTTTTTTTTTTATAAACAACAAAGATTAATACTACTTATTTTAAAAAAACTAAGTATTGAAAAAATAATAAATAACTAAAATGAATATAACACAAAAAAATTGAAAAAAATAAAAAAAAATTATGGTCCAAGGTAGCCGGCCCAAAACCGGCTATTCATGGAGGATCAGCCGATCTGAAACCGGATACCCGAGGAGAGGTAGCTGAACTGAAACCGGCTACCTCAGACCGACTGGTCTCCCATTGGTAGCCGGTTTTGGGCCGGCTACCTTGGACCAGAAATTTTTTTACTTTTTTAAAATTTTTTTTTACTTTTTTTAATTTTTGTGTTATATTCATTTTAGTTATTTATTGTTTTTTCAATACTTAGTTTTTTTAAAATGAGTATTATTAATCTTTGTTGTTTATATTTTTAAATTTATTTTTAAATGAGTAGTATTAATAATTGTTGTTTTTAAATTTGACATTTGATTTTTTTTTTTAATTTTTTCTTTGAAAGTTGGAGAAGAAGGAAAAGTAATTTGAATTTGATAGTTTGAGGAGAAAAGTTGTTTGTTAAGGGGAAAATTGTCCTAACTAGTGTAAATGAGCCAATTTTTATAACTGTAAATAGTAATACCAAAAAAATCTGAACAAAAGAAATCTAACCTTCCCTAAGTTATTACTATACTCAAGGATATTGTAAGACTTATACTCGCTTCTTAGTTATATTTCCAATTCCAGCCCCTTGTTCTTGTTGATCCTCTTCGGAGCGCTTTGGCCAGTGACTTCAACCGCTTTATCATCAGATTGGAGGAGCTCCACTACCAAGGCATCAATGGAGTCTTCTTTTATCTCCGGTACGGTTAAGATCTCATGGGTGGAGTTTAGTGGAGAAGTTTGAGCGCAGAGGAATTAATCGAAAGACAAAAACCAAAACCCATGCCCCCAAAAGGTAAACATTTTCAGATTAGATTAACCGCCGCACGTCCTTACCTCTTCAATGCGTACAACATCCACGGTCATGACATATTCTACTGAACATTAAGAATTGAGATTGGAGATCTGGTTTCATCGGCTTTATTGGTTTCAAAATCTATATGCGAAAGAATTGGTAAAGGAAGTGAGAAGCCAGCAAAATCCCTAAGATGCCAAAGGCCATATCAATTCCCGATTCCATTATATGGATTTCAATTTACTATTTAAGATTTGCCTCTCTGATTTTCCGAGTGTGTTTAAAGTTTTTGAATTCAAGTTTGATTTTAGATTTGATATCTTCACGTGAATTATTCTCTTTCTCGTTTTTGTTGTTTTTTTTTTTTTTTTTGCTTTTATCAAATTAAACTTATTACTATATTTACGTTTTTTGCTGTCTGTTTTTTTTTCTCTAAATAGTTAGAGTGTCACGTGTCAAAAATGGTATTCTACTGAAAAAGTCTTTTGGTGGGAAAATAATTAACGTAAAATTGACACATGTCCTTCTTCTATGTTACTTTAATTAAGTACTATAGATAATAATAATAATAAGTAGAACAGCTGCTAATTTTATTTTCCTAATACCATAAAAAGAAAGGAAAGAAGAGAATAGTGCTGAAAAAAAAAAAAGTATTCGTCAATTTTGAAAAAAAATATCACTATTACTATTACTTACTTACTAAATAATGTATTGATATTTAAATAAGAAATTGTTGATTGGGAGAACCTTCATTTCCTGCACAACATGAATCCAACACAAGCACATCACTGAACACAATTGGCTAATGAATATCCACATTTGAAATTTGTTTAGAGTTAAACTAACCACGATGTAGAAGTCCATGCTATACAAAAATAATTTTTTTTTAAAAAAAAAAAAGAAAACAGGAGGCCTTCTATCTAAAATTCAAAATAAAATGGACATGTTACCTTATCAAAATAGAATGAGAAACAATGCTCGGTATATATCTTGTACCAAAACAAATATAAAAAAAGAACTAAAAACAAAAACAAATTAAAATCCATTAATAAACTGAATCAAACTACAAAGACATTCAAGAGTCCCTATTTAGTATACCCGGAAGCACCTACTCCCCCTCCTATTTTTTACATTTATAGTCCTTACTAGTAGGTGGCCCGTTTGGTAGACGGGTTGTGAAGTTCTTCCCAATCAATTTGTGCAAAACATAATTTTATGTAAACGAAACACATCAATTAATGAAAAAAAGGGTGTAAAGTCATTTAAATTTGTTAAAAAGGTGAAGAATAATTTATTTAAATTATGGAAACATATAAAGATCAAAAAACTTTAAATAATGTATCAAAAAAACAATAAATAGAGTGTGAAAAAAATAATGAAGAAAACATTATCAATCACATTTTATTCTTGTCACAGATAAAGACCTTTAATCCCTTTCTTGATTTCACTCTAGATAAAGCAACGTACAACTGACCATGAGTGAAAACAGGAAGTCTTAAGTATAAACTAACATTTGCAAGCAATTGACCTTGGCTCTTATTTATAGTCATTGCAAAGCAAAGAATAACTGGAAATTGTCTTCTTTTTATTTTAACCAGTAAACTCTTGTCAGTTAGGTCAATCACTATGCGAGGAATGAATACTCATCTTTCAATATTTGTGTCTGAAATTATTAACTGGAAATTGTCTTCTTTTTAACAAATAAACTCTTGTCAGTGGGGTCAATCACCATGCGAGGAATGAATATTCATCTTCCAATATTTATGTCTGAAATTATTTTCGCGTGAATGACACATTCTTCCAAATCAAGAACTTGCAGTGTTGTACCATTGCATAGACCTCCTAGCTGATCTAGATTTCGGAGCAACATAATAGGAACACCAACCTTGAGAGTTATTTATAATTTGGCAAACCAGAAAATTTAATGCTATTGAGAAAATTAACAGAATACATCGGATTATTTTCGCTGTTTGAAGGTCTGTCCCGTTGGTCAACACTATAGTAACTAAAATAAGTCTTTGCACTTCCACTTAAGAGTGTTAGAATATGATCATTAATAGCATCTACATCGCCATGTGTTGGAGCTAAGATGGCCCTTTTATTAAAAAAAATTCGATATATTTAAGCATTCTATTATTGTTGGATAAATAGTTTTACAAATAGTAAAATTAGGATTGCATGAACCTCTTATACATATATCTTCGTTAATTTCAATATCATTTATGTCATCATTTGGTTCTCTTTCTTTACCATCACCAATCTTAAGCAATCATTCAGAGAACTCCTTAATTTCAGCGGATAATTTTCGTTATTTCCCTGACAAAGTCTCATGTTTTATGTTTGTCTCAGCACCTTTCAATTTGCCCAGATGAGAGAAGAATTGATAGTAGCAGCAACAATTTGTTGACGCGATCCCTTTGGGATAACTGGCAAGATTTGTTTAAAATCTCCTCCAAATACTGTAACTATACCCCTAAACGGATGTTTATTTATTCCTGACGCAGAGAAACGACTTAAATCTGTTAGTGTTCTCCAGAGCCTCAAAACAATAACGGTACATCGTTGGTGCTTCATCCCAAATGATTAACTTAGTGCGTGCAAAAAGCTGTGCCAAATCACTTCTAGGATCTATTTTACAAACTGAGTGATCATATATGTTTAGAGGTATCTTAATTCTTGAATGTGCAGTTCAATCACCTTCCCAGCAAAGCGAAGCAATACCACTCAAAGCCACATTCAACACAAAATCATATTTTCGACGTAATGCAACTGATTTCACGTAACCAGTGTCATGGGTTGCCAAGATGGAAGGAAAAAAATGCTAAAATTGGGCTGTTGACGAGTGCGATCGGGAGGACGAACCAAAAGCAACACGTGCGAAGCCATGACAAATGGACGAACCAACCAGTGTGTGTGGAAGTGCATCCACACTTTAGACATTAACTTATAATAACAGTTGGCTCATAACCGATTTTTTTAATTTCACCCACGACATCTCTTGCCTCCACATAATGTCCTTGCTTAGCAAATCCATCAAGAAGCATGTTAAGAGAAAGTCACCCGTGTGCCATTGACTTTATTTTTTATCGTCATCTTCCAAATTTGCATTAGCTTCTCTGTGTCACCATCTCGCCTAAATGCGTCGTGCAGTGTATGTTTCGATATTCAACTCCCTCCTTCGGCTTACTCTCAAAGGCCAACTTTAAAATGTGTTGTTTCAGAATTGCTAGAAGCACATTTAACTGCACAGATAAACTGCCAAAGCATTCAAGCAAGGAGAAATTTGGCATAAAGCAGCACAGGATAAGCCACCAGAAGTAACAGCTTTCTGGATATCATGCAAAGCTCAACTGGATAGAGCAAAAACAGTTGAAGAGACCAGAGTTGTCCAATTTTGCCACAGGTTCTCCATTTCCAAGGCAAGACTGACAACTAGCATTCAGCTTCCAGGAGTATGCAATCTATAAGCTCTTGATTGATTCTTCTTACCTTTCCAAAACTCGTCTTTCTTCCCTTTCTTCTTTGGTTTCATTAGGCCCATGCTGCTCTTGATTATACCCATGAGAGCACTCTTGTCTTTCCTATTCTTTATTTTGGCCTTCGCATCCAAAATGGCCCTAAGCTTCGCATATGATTTGGCATCAGGAACTTGCCCACTTTTCACCATCTCTTTGTGATAGAAAAACGCCCTTTTAAAGTCTCGAACACGAAGATATGCATAGATCATCGTCAAGTAAGTGATAGAATCAGGTTTTAGCTTGAGCGCAGCCATCTCCTTAAGGAGCTGTGGCAATTTTGAATCTCTTCCTCCCCTAGCATAAGCATTCATTAACATATTATACGTCATAACAGTTGGCTCATAACCGATTTTTTTGAATTCACCCACAACATCTCTTGCCTCCACATAATGTCCTTGCTTAGCAAATCCATCAAGAAGAATGTTAAAAGTCACCCGTGTGCCATTGACTTTATTTTTTATCATCATCTTCCAAATTTGCATTAGCTTCTCCGTGTCTCCAACACGCCTAAATGCGTCAAGTAGTGCAGTGTATGTTTCGATAGAAGGTTCAACTCCCTCCTTCAGCATACTCTCAAAGGCCATGTAAGCTTTCTCGTGCCAGCCACTAATAGAATAGGCATGAATCAGAGCTGTATAAGAATGCGAGGTTGGTTTTATACCAACCCTTCTCATCTTCAAAAATGCATCAGCAGCCTTATCACTCATTTTTTTCTGCCTCCCGTAAGCACTAATCAAACAAGTATATGATTTGACATTAGGCTCCAGTCCCACGCTTTCCATTTCTTGCATGAGTGTTTCAACAATTTCAGGCTGCATCCTTCTGCTATAAGCATCCATCAAAATATTGTAGCTTGCAGCAGTTGGTGAAATTCCTTTAATTTTCATCTCATTAAAAAGACCTTCAGCTTCTTCAAGTTGGTTTGATTTACAATATGCATCCATAATTGTATTATACACTATAGAATTGGAGGAAATTCCTCTTTTCTCCAAGTCAGATTGGATTATAAGAGCTTCTTTCTTCAGACCCTCCTCGCAAAAGGATTTTACTATAGCACCTAAGACTTCTGCACTCCACTTAACTCCTTTCCTTTCCATCTTTTCCACAAACTCCCATGTGGTTTTCGCATTTTCACCCTTCTTTCTCATGACTGTTATTACAATTGAACATGTAACATGATCGGGTTGGACATTGTTCATTTCCATAGATTCATACACTTTCCAAGCATCATCATACCTTCAACAACCAATTAAAAATAAAATAAACAATCCTAATATTTGCATATAGATCCAAAACATGGAAGGAGTGTACATGCACAGTAACACTGGAATCAAATGCTCAGACAAACATTATAATGCTCACTGGTAACAAATTGACAAGAGAAAACATGCCGAAGATCATAATAAGAATTTCTTCTACAAAACATGCAGATAAACACAATTCAAAGCAACAGACTGTTTCTCTCCCAAAAGAACCGAACTTGAAGCATAAAATTGAAACCAAAATGCATTGTAAACACAATTAGAACAAGGAAGAAAGAGGCAAAGGAAATAGAACAAGTTGATAAACAACATGGAAGAACCAACAGAAATAAGAGCAGCAAGTGATACCTCCTGCAGGACAAGAGCCCTGAAATTGCAGCATTGTAAACATGTACATCCCTGTATCTTTTCTCTTTCGGCAAGTTTGTGAAAAGCACCATAATCTCATCACCGAGTCCTGCTCTTCCTAAGATTGGAAACAAAATTGTGCAGGCCCGAGGCGAAACCAGTGATAGATCATTCAACCCCATCCATTCAAAAAAGTACAAACAACAATTTATTAGTCCTTCCTGACCCATCAATTCCAAAGCCTCCACACATTCTCTAGCACTCACTCTTCCTTCAAAACCTCCCAAAACCTCACCTAAAGTAACATTTTCCGGTAAATTCCTCGACTTCTCCAATATTTCCCCAACCACACCGCCTACTTTGGTCGAACTATTATCAACAGCAATTGAAGGACTCAAATTAAAACTCCCTATCTCCTCTAATTCATTCTCTTCCATTGGGGAATCCTTATCCTTAGCATCAAAAGCGAGGTGCCATGCGGTTTTGCGGTTCTTCTGGAGGGAAAGCTTTCCTTTCTTAACCGGGTCAGGGTCTGGGTTTGCAGTTCGGGTTTTGAAGAATTTGAGTATGGGGTCATCTTCATCATCGTTGTAAGAGTCCAAGTTTTGGTCTTTCGATGTGGGTTCCGGTTCAGGGATTTGCTGGGTTTGTGGGTCTGGGTCGGGGTCTTCTTCAAGAAAAGGTAGAAAAATGGCAGAGCTTGAACAATGAGGAACTGAAGGAGGAGAAGAAAGCGAACAAAGTGGAAGAGGTCCATGAATATTATTACCTAATTTCGTCAACCTAAGTAGTTGAGAAGTCGAGAAATTGAATGTGTGTGGTGTAGGAAAAGAAGATGATGATGATGAAATTGAAGAAGAAGAAGAATGGAGGATGATGGGGTAGTATGTGAGGAGCGCCATTTTCACTCAATCCCTTTAGCCTGCTGCAACTGAAACTAAACAGTTAATTGGCCGTCTCTTAAGCATATTTGTAGTTCTGTGAATAAATAGGAAAAATTATAGAGGAAAAGATAAAGGGATAAAAATACTCAATTACATAAATGATAAATTATACTGCGGTCAAGGAGTTTCGTATTCCATACTTGTAGAGAAAAAAGAAAAGCTCAAAGAGACAATACATCAAGCAGCTTTGCTTCAATCTTTTTAGACCCAAGAGAGGAAATGTATAACGAGTTTGGGATCACTGACCTATTCAAGCTAAAGATGGATGAATTCCTTAATCGCTTAACCACAACCTTTTACTTGTTTCGCTTCAAGAATAAATCGACAACAAACCTGACAGAATACTCAATCTTAGCCAGACTACAGAACCCAAATTTGTTATCCGACACGACTGAAGGAAACAGAACGCCACTTCATTTGAGTTCCACTGTAGATTAATAAACCTTTGAGTTTTCTCCGTGGTTAAATAAAGTACTACATTTATAGAATTAACTCACGGTAGCAGTAATTACTATTTTAACTTGTGTAAAAACAGAGCAGCATTTGCACCTTTTCGTACTTTTACCATATGCGGAAAAAACAGTGTTTTTCTTTTTCTTTTAGAACTTCCGTCTTCGGGTATCTATGCTAGTGTTTACCTTTGCACGTTATGCAGGTTATTCAAAAATAATATTAATGATATAAATTATAATTAGAGACTTTTATTCAAGTATTAGGTCACTCGTTGTCGCTCGTTGTGCGACCAATTTAACGACCTCTTTAGAAATTTAACGTGTTAGTATACTTGTTTAGCTACAATTTTTTTTAATCCTAATAAAACAAATAATATGACAAACTTTGAATACCAAAAATACAGACAAAATAAATCTTGAATACCAAATAAACTTGTTTTAGTTTGTTTCCGTTATTCCGTTCTACTTTCGCAAGACCTGTCTCCTCACAAACATGACCGAGTATGTAGAATCCAACTGACTACACTGAGAGTTCATAAAAACAAGACTACTCTCACCAGCATTTATATTGTTTCTTAAGTCTAAGTATCACATCTGTTAAGTGTCAATAAGTATTCATTTAGAGCAATTTAGTTGTAGCAAAGTTCTACAGCTTGAACTGAAGTTTAGACTGAAGATAATATTTGTATTTCCTCATTTTAGAGGTACAAACCTACAACCTGGTTAATATTCTTGCATCAATTAAATGTGTCTCTTTCGAAGCCATTCAAAATAACATCTTTCATTGTTGATAATAAACCGGTAAACCTTCCTCCACGGATGCTGTCACATTTTGGTTATTGTAGTCAATCCTATCCACTATAGTACCCTGTTGGCAAGAAAAGATGTGATTATCAACATCCATTATAGGAGCACACCTAAGTTAATCTAAGATATGAAAAGCTTCTTACCTGGTTCATTTACTGATTCATAAACCTATAAAGCCACAAGCGGAAAAATTGTGAGCCACACCTTCTGTTAGCTACGTTGAGGAGATCAAATATATCTAATAAGTTACCTATTGAATTTCTCTCTCCCTTTCTGCTGTGAAAGTCTCACTTTCTACTGAATGTGATACATTAATAACATGAAAACTTATTCTTTTACAAGGGATTAAATCTTACCAGGTCCTCAAAGATATTTTCTGCCTATTTCGAATGGCTTCTTTTCAAGTTCATTTCAAGGTCAACTCCATCAGACCCTAGGCAAACAGAAAAAAGAAAATGATATTAAAGAAAATCGCAATAAAAAGGATAGCTAAAACAAAAACATAAAGCCCCGATAAAAAACCTATGAATGAGGCCCAATCATAAAGAAAACATGGATCAACAAACAAAGCAAAAGAAATCAAAGTTGCCAGACCGGTGGCGACTACACAAGCCTGACGTCATCATGGGGGGTCTTTTAAACAAGAATAATCTACTTCATTGAAACTTGCATATACAAATTGAACAAACCCAGTTTTACAGAATAAAGGCAAACCTCTTTCTGTTGTTGTAATCACTTCTGATACTTAGACTGATTCTTGCGAAGTTCTACTGAGAGGCTCTGAAGGTCAGTAGCAAGGGATCCTGTTACCCAAAAAATCAACACATTGTAAGCACAAAGCTGGAAAACGCCGTCTAATCTATATGTGACGAAGCTAAAAGTGTAAGTGGTTACTTGCCTATTTCTGTTTCTTTTTCTTATTTTCAATGTTGAGCACAAAAGAAAGAAGACATAAGTTCCTTGAAGTACACCATGTAATAAAATGGAAAAAGACAAATAGATGAAACGATTAATAAACTAACAGTAAAATAGAAAAAAGGAAGTGTTGTCCAATGCAAGCTTTACAGATGACTTAGATAGATAATATACGCAGTTTACATCACATCTGTATTTTCCACAGCGGGAGGAAATACAACTATTTTCACATGAGGAGCGTCAAATTAAAAAACCTAGTCTTGTTAACCATGGTTATCAGCAGATGACACAAGGAAGATCATTCCAATGTGGCCATGTATCTGTTACTATCATTTAGTGGCAGGTGGCACTTCAACTGCATATGCTACTTCGTACAAATATAACAATTATATGAACCTAGCTTTTCTAGCCATACCTGCACATTTTTTCGAACATTTGAATCCTCTGAAGGCCCACCAGCAGTAAGTCTGTTTTTCTGATTTTCTTAATAGATCAGTTATTTCTTGGGTAAGAACTCAATTGGCGCTGATCTTCTTTCCCATCCCCGAACAAGGGCATTAATGCCTTTGCATGAGCCCTGGCTAGCTCAGCCATTTTCGTCCTCGCTCGTTGCACATTTGTTACGATTTCTTCAGAAACATCTACCCAAGCTGGGGGCAAACTAACTGTTACCACACCTCTACTGCAAGAAAGAAGAACTATGGTGAACATTTTAACCAAGCCAAGATAGCGCTCAATACAAAATTTGAACCAAAACTTTGAATAAAATATATTAAACCCAATGTCAAAGAAGAGCACAAATGTGTTTCAACAAAATCTGGTCACAAAACACAACGCTACAAATAATTTTAATAACAGAATTTATTAACTAAAGATGATAACAAAACACAATATCCCTCAAGTTTTCAGATGTGATCAAAAGTTTAGGACTTTCTCTGACAAGCGTACGTGTGCACGTCAACTTCAAAACACATGGGGACAGCAAAAAAACAAAAACGATGTACACAAACTCTGAAGCCCCTTGTGGCGAAACTTATTTTAGGCATAAACTTGATTCTATCTAAAATAAGCGCTATGTGTGCATCATTTGCTACTCTGGTTTGCTACATTCCTATTTTGAACTCCGAAGCTACCCAAACTCCTAAAGCAAAGAAAAATATTGTTCTCCAATTGAAGTCCTCCATTCTAAAGCCAATTCTTCATCCAATACTTCATTGGCTAAAAATTAAGGCTATACAAATTAATGGTAAGATTACTCATTCGCAATAGAGATGTTCAAAGAGCAAAACACTATGTACTCCCTTGGATACATAATAGAAAACTAATGTACATCAAATAGGACTTTAGATCAATATAGAATCTAAAAGTTTTCTCTGGTTTTTTAAATTAATGGTTGAAAGAAAAGGGCATCTCATCAATCAATGTACTAACCATTATTGGAATTAGACACAAAATCATGCATGTGGCATCAAGAGCCTCTCTCTGAGATCAAGAAATTATTCAGCCAAAATACATCACCATTAAACAAATACCAAATAATAAAAACAACTAATGGTTGTTGAATCGTGATGATTTCCGTCGTTTTGGATATCATAAATGTTACAGAATTTACGACCTAGTAAAGAAATTCTGGAGGTGTATAATTGGTTTTGTGGTTTAACATTATTCAAATCAAAAAGCGCATCTAAATTCAAACCAAACACAAACATTATTCAAATAACCCGTCGATAAGCGCATCAAACATTATTCAAATGCTCCGTTCTGCTTGTGAGGCACTATTGGAATAAAAGACTTACGGAACATCGGGCAAAACCATCAGGCGTTAGACTCCCTTTCGCCTCTCCGCCAATTCCATGCCCAATACCATCGCCATCTCCAACTCTACCGCGGAAAGCACACCACTATGCTCTTATCCTAAACTGGAGATCTTGGCTAGTTCTCCACACCAGTGGGTACATTGGTTTTGTTGGATTGCAACAATCTATTTGAACTGAAATCCTTCAAGATGTATGGTTGGTCCGTGGATCTTCTTCTTTTCCTTCAATGAGAGAACAAATTAGCAGAGGATTCCAACTCCGGCTCTATTAAATCGGGGGGAATTCAGTTTAAGTCCAATCGGAACAAAACAATAAAAGACGCAGATGGTGATGGATATGGGATTGACATCAGATCTGAGCGGAGAACAACACGCACAGTTTGCATTCCTCTTTGGGCCATCTCATGTTTCTCGTATCTACCCCGTAAGCCTCTTTGGTGGACAATCAGTCGGGGAAACAAAGAGAGTATGTAATCGGCGGGATGGGATGATAGCCGCATAGGTTAACGACGTGCAGGTTTTGTAGCCAATTGGCATCAAAACAACGTCGACGTCGTTTTGATGTTCAAGGTTTTAATTTTGGGCGTTGTTTTAAACAACAGTGTCAAGGTTTTTAACTTTTTGGCTGTGGGAATGTTTTATTTATTAAATGGCTTTTTTACCCCTTTTAAAATTTGCTGATGCCATCAGTAGCCCATCGATCAATCAAAATATTGGAATATAATTAGAACTCATTCTTTTATAAGAATAGGGATTAGGATTAAACTGTGTTTGTTTGGGAGAGTTTTTGTAATTACATATTTATTTGTAGTTTAGGAAATCACTAGCCTATAAATATAATAGGTTAGGGTTGTTTCTGCGTTGTTGTGCGCGTGTGTGCGTTGAATTGTGGTGTAGTGTGGCTCGGTCAACCGACATTGTCTTGCTCCTTGTTTTTGATTAATAAGAGTTAGGCAGTACGTCTTCAATCAATTGGCTTTGTTTACTTCTTTAATTGTTTTTGGTCTATAGTGCTTTGTTCAAGCACTGCCTTGGCTGTTTTGGTTTCTACATCTAGCATCAGAGTTGGATTCAGCTCCAACGATCATCGCGGAGCGAAATATTACATGTGTAGTTCCAAAATTAGGGAAGACAAAATTATAATTTTTGGAAAATTCAGATGGAAATGCATCTTAATGTGTGTGGGTTATTGAGACATGTTAAAGAGGAAATGGCTAAAAACGCTAATAAGACCGTAAAGAGGAGAGATAGTTTAGCATTGTCTCAAATTCATCAAGCTATTGATATGTCTGTGTTTGGAAGAATTTTTACATGAAAACAGCAAAAGAGGCATAGGATATTTTAGAAAAATCGTATTGTGGTGTGGAGAAGGTTCAGAAGAGTAATTTGCTCATGCTGAAGAGGAAGTTTAAACTTTGTAAGATGGAAAAGACAGAAAGTATTGATT